AGGCCCCACAGTATCACAATGGTCCTCTTGGTTCTGTGGGGACCCCCAGGGTCACAATGGTCTCACTGGTTCCATGAGGCCTCACAGTGTTATCATGCTTTGTTTATTCCCTAGGGCCTCATAATGTCACAATGGTCTCACTGATCCCATGAGTCCCCTCAGTGTCACAATGGCCCCTTGGTTCCATGAGACTGTGAAAGTGTCTTAATAGTGTCTTCATCGTTCCATGAGACCTTGCAATGTCACAACGGACCTTTAGCCCATGAGGTCTTGTAGTGCCACAATGGCCCCTTGATTGCATGACACCCCAAAGTGTCACAATGTTCTCCACAGTTCCCTGAGGCCTCTCATTGTCACAATGATCCCTACACTCCATGGAGCCACAGAGTGTCAGGAAAGTCCCCTTGGTTCCATGAGGCCCAGAAATGTCAAAGGGCTCTCCATGATTCCATGAAGCCCCACAGTGTCACAATGGCCCCCTGGTCTCACAGAGCCCCACAGTGTCACAGTGGTCCCTTGGTCTCACAGGGCCCCACAGTGTCACAGTGGTCTCTTGGTCTGACAAGGCCCCACAGTGTCACAATGCTCCCTTGGTTCCATGGGTCCTGTGCTGCTGCATTCCCCCCTCCCCTTCTCAGGCCGCCCTGCCAGCTGAGAAATGCTCCTTGGGGCTCGGCCTTGGCCAACAGCCCCTGGGCTCAGTTCCTCTGCAGCTCATCACAAACACTGTCTGCTCCAGGCACTGCTGCTGCCCAACCAGCTCCTGGGTTCTGTAGGAGCAGCCCTGGGAACTGTTTTTGTTCCCTCAGTGGCACAACATCCCTGTTCTCACACTGCCAAAGAAAGCTGTTGATGCCAAGTGCGGCCAGGATGAACCATTGCTGGGACTGAAGCCCCTCTCTTGGGGCCCTACAAACAGCGCTCCAAAAGGAGCCCTTGGAGCTCTCCTGGGCCAACGACTCCCTCTGAGTGGGGCCTCTCCCAGCCGGGAACTCTCCCGTTTGCTGCACTCGGGGATCCCCAACAACGACAGAGTCTGGGCTGATCCCCCCACTCCTCCAGGCTCAACCCTTCACCCACTGGGGAGATGCCAAAGGATCCACAGGGAGCATTTCCTGCCCTCAGGGTAACTTCTCACAGGTGCCTTGCACTGACTCTTTCTGTCTGTGTGCACACAGGAGCGTGTGTGCTGGGGAAATGTGGCAGAAGATTGTGACAATGAAATGTGACAAAAACAGACTGTCCCTGTGTGCCAAAAGATCAGTCAATGGGGTAAATATCCAGCCTGGCTGGGAAAGGAGGTTTTGGAGAAACTTAGGAATAAAAAGAGGATGTATCAGCGTTGGAAACAGGGTCAGGTCTCTAAGGAAGTGTTCAAGAAGGCTGCTAGAGCATGCAGACAAAAAATTAGGCAGGCCAAAACTCAGTTTGAACTTAGAATGGCGATTTCTGTAAAGGATAATAAAAAATGTTTTTACAAATACATTAATGCTACAGGGAAGGGTAAGACCAGCCTTTGTTCTTTATTGGACAAGGGAGGGAACTTAGTATCTGCAGATGAGGAGAAGGCAGAAGTGCTTAATGCCTACTTTGTCTCAGTTTTTAGTGGGAAGATGACTTGCCCTCAAGACACCTGCCTGCCTGGGCTGGTTGATGGTGTCAGGGAGCAGAATGGTCCCTCCATTATACAAGAGGAGGCAGTCATACAACTACTGAAATGCTTGGATGTTCATAAATCTATGGGACCAGACGGGATCCACCTCAGGGTAATGAGAGAGCTGGCAAATGAGATTGCAAAGCCAGTCTCCATCGCTTACCAACAGTCCTGGCTCACTGGTGAGGTTATGGATGACTGGAAGCTGGCCAATGTGATACCCATTCACAAAAAGGGTGCAAAGGAGGATCCTGGTAATTATAGACCAATCAGCCTGTCCTCACTACCTGGCAAAATAATGGAACAGTTAATATTAAGTGCCATCACACAGAATTTACAGGATGGCCAGGGTATCAGACCCAGCCAGCATGGGTTTAGGAGGAGTAGGTCATGTTTAACCAACCTGGTCACCTTTTATGACCAGGTAACCCGCCTAGTGGATGCAGGGAAGGGTGCAGATATTGTTTATTTGGATTTCAGCAAGGCCTTTGACACTGTCTCCCACGGCATACTCCTAGACAAGCTGGCAGCCCGTGGCTTAGACTGGAGCACTCTTTGCTGGGTTACGAACTGGCTGCATGGCCAGGCCCAGAGAGTGGTGGTGAATGGTGCTGCATCCAGCTGGTGGCCAGTCACCAGTGGTGTCCCTCAGGGGTCTGTGCTGGGGCCAGTTCTGTTTAATATTTTTATTGATGACATGGATGAGAGTTTAGAGTCTTTCATTAGCAAATTTGCAGATGACACTAAGCTGGGAGCGTGTGTTGATCTGTTAGAGGGAGGGAGGGCTTTGCAGAGGGATTTGGAACGGTTGGATGTATGGGCAAAATCTAATGGGATGAAGTTCAATAAGTCCAAGTGCCGAGTCCTGCACTTTGGCCACAATAACCCCCTGCAACATTATAGGCTGGGGAGAGAGCGGCTGGACAGTGTTCAGGAGGAAAGGGACCTGGGGGTACTGGTTGACAGTCAGCTGAACATGAGCCAGCAGAGTGCCGTGGTGGCCAAGAAGGCCAATGACATCCTGGCCAGTATCAGGAACAGTGTGGCCAGTGGGAGTTGGGAGGTCATTCTTCCCCTGTACTAGACACACCTTGAGTATTGCATCCAGTTCTGGCTCCTCAGTTTAGGAGGGATGTTGAGATGCTTGAGCGTGTCCAAAGGAGAGCAACGAGGCTGGTGAGGGGCTTGGAGCGCATACCTTATGAATAATGACTGAGGGAGATGGGGTTGTACAGCCTGGAGAAAAGCAGACTCAGAGGTGACCTTATCACCCTCTTCAAATTCCTGAACGGTGGCTGTGGTGAGCTGGGGGTCGGTCTCTTTCTCCAGGCAACAACAGACAGAGCAAGAGGACACAGTCTCAAGTTGCGCCAAGGGAGATACAGGCTAAAATTAAGGAGGAAGTATTTTACAGAAAGAGTGGTCAAATACTGGAATCATCTACCCAGGGAGGTGGTAGAGTCACCATCCCTTGATGTGTCTAAGGGAAGACTGGATGTGGCCCTTGGTGCCATGATCTAGTTGAGGTGTTAGAACATGGGTTGGATTCGATGATCCTAAAAGTCTCTTCCAACCTAGAAATTCTGTGATACTATGATTCGTGGAACCAAGGATCCACTGTGACACTTCAGGGCCTGGGGGGACCAAGTGCCATTGTGACACTGCAGGGCCAAAGATCAAAGGGACTTTGTGACACCAAGGGGTCCTATGGAACCAAAAAGACATTGTGACACTGGGAGGCCCCATGGAACCATGGAGACCATTGGGACACTGGGAAACCGTGCTGACACAAAGTTAGGTGCGAGTTTAATCTGCTGGAGGGTAGGAGGGCTCGGCACAGGGCCCTGGACAGGCTGGATCCAGGGCCCAAATCCAACAAGGTGAGGTTTACCAGGACCAAGTGCCGGGTCCTGCACTTTGGCCACAACAACCACTGCAGCACTACAGGTGGGGGACAGAGTGGCTGGAGAGACCCCAGGCAGAAAGGGACCTGCAGGGACTCATGGACAGCAGGATGTACATGAGCCAGCACTGTGCCCAGGTGGGCAAGAAGGCCAATGGCTCCAGGCCTGGATCAGGAATGGTGTGGCCAGCAGGAGCAGGGCAGTGATTCTTCCCCTGTGCTCAGCACTGGTTGGGCAGCACCTCAAGTGTGGTGTCCAGTTCTGCGCCCCCCAATTTAGGAAGGCCATGGAGGGGCTGGAGTGTGTCCAGAGAAGGGCAACAAGGCTGGCAAGAGGTCTGGAGCACAAGTCCTGTGAGGAGCGGGTGAGGGCCCTGGTAGATGTTCAAGTTCTCCAGCCCTTGCTGGCCCCAGGGGCTGATGGCATTTGTGCTCCCTCAGGTTCATGTCCCCACACCAACAGCATGGGGGTGCTCCCCCTGCTCTGTGCAATGCAAACAGGGGCTGCTGAGCCAGGGCTGCCGTGTCTGTGCCTGCAAGGATGGGGCACCTGTGTGAGCTGGGGGAGAGGCCAGGGCTGCAGATGGGGGGATGTTGTTGGCAGCTCCATGAGGATGCTCTGGGATGCTGCCCTGGGCTGTGCAGCGCACTGGGGATGGATCAGCCCCTGCTCTGCTGCTCCTTCCCATCTCCCCCAGGGCCATTGCAGAGCCCCAGCCATGCTGTTTGCCCCCAGCCTGCCCATGGCAAGCCTGGGGCTCCTCAAGGCGGATTTCTGGCCTGAGCATTTGCCTGGGTGTGTTCTTGAGAGAGCCTGGGCAAGGAGCCTGGAGCCTCCAGCCTGAGGCGTCAGCGCTGCCCCAGCAGTGCCCATGTCCTTTCCCTGCTGCAGCCCAGGCACTGCCACCCCCAGGGCTGTGCCCGGCCCCGAGAGCACTCAGGCCCTACAGCAACACCAGGGCCACCAGGGCAGCGGGGCAGGGCCACGGCAGCAGCACTGGCAACACCAAGTGCTGCTGCAGCTGGGCACAGCTGCTGTGCCAGCCCTGATCTGCCTCCAGCTCTGCACACAGACATTCCTGCTGCAGCTCCAGAGAAGGAAGAAAAAGGGCATCTCTGCAGAAAACTCTGCTGGGATATCCTTTAGTTCCTTTAAATACACCGGGGGGGGGGGGGGGGGGGGGCAGCCCCTCATTGACACAGTCTGTGTCCACAGGGAAGGTGGAGAGAAACAAAATGAGAAATGGCACAAATAATGAACTTTTTCTTTTGAAAAGATATAGTAAGTAAAACAAAGAAAAAGAAACTACAATGAAACAAAATAGATCAAAGATTACTTTTATTCCACATAATTGGCAGTATCGGGCAAGTATTTTAATGTTTCTGAAACCATCCAGTCATCAATCTCCACACTGCAGCCTTCAGCTCCTGGTTCCTCAGGCTGTAGATGAGGGGGTTCAGGGCGGGCGGCACCACTGAGTACAGAATTGACAGAGCCAGATCCAGAGATGGGGAGGAGATGGAGGGGGGCTTCAGGTAGGCAAATGTTGCAGTGCTGACAAACAGGGAGAGCACAGCCAGGTGAGGGAGGCAGGTGGAAAAGGCTTTGTGCCGTCCCTGCTCAGAGGGGATCCTCAGCACAGCCCTGAAGGTCTGCACATAGGAGAAAACAATGAACACAAAACTACCAAATGATAAACTGCTAGTAACCACAAGAAATCCAAGTTCCCTGAGATAGGATTTGGAGCAGGAGAGCTTGAGGATCTGGGGGATTTCACAGAAGAACTGGCCCAGGGCATTGCCATGGCACAGGGGCAGGGAAAATGTATTGGCCGTGTGCAGCAGTGAATAGAGAAAGGCACTGGCCCAGGCAGCTGCTGCCATGTGGGCACAAGCTCTGCTGCCCAGAAGGGTCCCGTAGTGCAGGGGTTTGCAGATGGACACGTAGCGGTCGTAGCACATGATGGTCAGGTGGGAAAACTCTGTTTCAAGAAAGAAGATTAGTAGAAATAGCTGAGCAGCACATCCTGTGTAGGAGATGTTCCTGGCGTCCCAGAGGGAATTGTGCATGGCTTTGGGGACAGTGGTGCAGATCATGCCCAGGTCAGTGAGGGCCAGGTTGAGCAGGAAGAAGAACATGGGCGTGTGCAGGTGGTGGTCACAGGCTACGGCACTGATGATGAGGCCGTTGCCCAGGAGGGCAGCCAGGGAGGTGCCCAGCAAGAGGCAGAAGTGCAGGAGCTGCAGCTGCCGTGTGTCTGCCAATGCCAGCAGGAGGAAGTAGCTGATGGAGCTGCTGTTGGACATTTCCTGTGATGCCTTAGCATAGGGATCTTTAAAAAAAAATAATGGAATAATTGGTTTTGGAGAGGATTTAAAATATTCCAGCTCAGCTTGGGGGCACTTTCCCCCCTCTGCCTGCCCAGGGCTCTGCTGCCTGGAGCTGTCCCTGCCAGCAGCTGCTTCCCTGTGCCCAGGGCTGAGCCCTGCCAGTGCTGCCAGAGCCCAGCCCAGCCCTGGGGGCTCAGCTCTGCCCTGCAGACCCTTCCCAGCTCAGGCACTTCCTAGGGACAGCTCTGCTCTACAGGCTCTGATGGCAACATAACAGCAACCCTGAGGAGGCTGGAAAAGTGTCACTGATGCTGCCTCTAAGGGGTCCTGTGATTATTTCTGCATTGCCTGGTTTATTAACATCTGAGAGAAAATATTTTGATTTTTCTCAGCATGAAATGAGAGATGAATACCTATGGGCAATTTCCTATCATGGCAACCCAGAGTAGTAGAATAAAAAAGCAGGAATTCCTCTTTTATGCAGCCCCTGCCTTGCTGTGCTACCCGTATAATGTACTTGGAAATGTTCTGCAGTTAAATATCATGCAGGATCAATTCTGAACAATGCAGCATCCTCCCTACACAAGGAGAACACTTCCAAGCTTGACCAGGTGTCTCCGCCCACTCAGATCTTGTCCCCCAGTGCTGGGAGCAGCTGCCAGGGCTGGCTGAGAGCTGTCCCTGGCAGGCAGCAGAGTCCCTGCCCCAGTACAGTGCCCTGGGCTGCAGGACCCTGCTCTGCAGGACAGCCCTGGGCACCCCTGGCTGCTCTGCACAAGAGACAATCAGAGAATGTACTCACAGGGTCTGCAGGCATTGGGATGTTCTAGCTTTAGGAGATGGCTCCAGGAGGTGCAGCTGCATTGTCCTGCAGCCAGAGGTTCCTGTGCCAAGGGCTGGCAGTGATTCTGCCCCAGGCACTTCTCAGCACCTTTCCAGCCCTGACTGATTGAAGCTCTCTGTGCCTCTGTGCTGTGCCCGGGGTGGCTGCAGGAAGTGCCCCAGCCCTGTTGGGCTGGCAGAAGAGCTGCTCATCAAGAGAAATGTGCTTTTGAAGCTCTTCTTGGTTACCAGGAGCTGCCTCTGTGCTAGGAGCCCAGCCCAGCTCAGCAGCACAGACACAGCACAAGGACTTTAATGAGCCTCTGGGGCTTTGTGCTCAGGCCCTGAACATCAGTCCCTGAGAGGTGGCTGAAGAAACCTCTCCAGAACTCCAAGTCAGAATCCAACTCCAAAATTTCCTGGACTTTTAATGGGTCCCACTGAGGAGCATGACTGAGAAAGTGTCCCCAGGCCCCAGGCTGAGCAGAGAACTGGAGGCAGTGATGACAGGTGGGGACAAAGAGAAGCCAAGTCTTGGTGCCCTGGGGCACAGCAGGGTCTGTGCCACCAAGGGCTGTGAGGAGACACCTTGTGCTGAGGCACTGGGACCTCCTGGCACAGCCCCAGCCAGGCTGGGCACTGTCCGCCCCTTGTCCTGCCCTCAGCATCCCCCCCTAGCCCACATCCCAGTGGCCTCAAGGATCTGCTGGAAGGAGTGCCCGGGGAGCCTTGCTCAGTAATGGCTGCAGGGGCTCCTTCATGCTCCCTTGCAGGGACTGCAGGTTTTTCTAAGGACTTTGGGTTTTGCTTTTGCCTTGGAGTCTCTGAGAGGTTTGTGCAATCATGGCCTCCAATTATCTGCTCTAATTAGTCCCTGGAGAGGCTTTGTCAGTAACAACACTCACTGGGGCAAATTAATGGTTCGGCGTACTTCAGTCATTTTATGGTACTTGGTGTTTCACTTTTGATACAGACTCTGTGAGAGGTTTGTTCAATCATGGCCCTAATTATCTGCTTTAATGAGTCCCTGGAGTGCTTTGTACTGACACTCAGTGAGGCTCATTAATACCTTTAGATACTCAAGGTTAATAACGCACTTTATGGAGTTAAGAATACTTTTAGGTACTTCCAAGGATTTTCCTTCTCACACTGAGTCTCTGAGAGTTTTTTGTGCCATCCTAGCCTCCAATTCTCGTCTCCAAGGAGTCCATGAGGATCCTGTATTGGGTATCTTCCCCCTTTCTCTTTTAAAACAAAGATAGAACTGAAAGAATTTTTAAGACTTTCTAAAAACATTCAAACAAACACGGGACAATCAACAATACAACAACAACCACTAAGAGAATTAATAGTCCTGATTTAGCTCGATATCATCCAACCCTTTAGTCCCTTGGACTGGAAGAGTTTATTGACCCAGTCTTTGTTTTCCAATTGAAGCTTCTTGAACCCTTCCTTCAGTACCTGAATGCTCTTATGGATTGACTCGCTGTGGCTGGAGAGGTTCATGCAACACATGCCCTCAGAGTCTACACAGCCATGCCCATGTGCCCAGAGTAAAAACTCTATCGCTGTTCTGCAAGGTGGCATGTCTGATGGTCTCTATGTCTGAGAGCAGGCCACTTAATGTGAGGGAGGTAACATTGGTTTGTTTACTTAACAGGCACCCAAGATGGTCTAATTGTCCCAAAGCTTTAGCTGCAGCCATCCAAGGCAGTCCAAATTGGGGGTGCTACTATCCGATATCTGGATTAAAGCTTTCAAAGCCATCTCTTTGATATCATCCAATACTTCTCTGGGGATAGCTGCTGCTTGATCATCTGGTAGTCTGTGTTGTCCTTTTCAAGATAGATATTTGGTTGTCAATTCTGCCTTTGCCTCATTACTAGCATAGTCTGCTATTATTTGAGTTAGTAAACACTTCCATCCCCCTTCCCACAGGGTGTATTCTGTAGGTGACAACAACATGGTTATATTTTAAATCATAGGGAGTTAAGGTGTGCTGTAAACATTGTCCTCATTAGGCCATTAAATCAAGGTGAGTCCTTCCTATGGTCTTTAGCTGCCGTACACAGATCCTTGATTTCCCTGTAAACCAATGGCTGAAAGCATGGATTCTGCCTCCTGCTTTCATACAGGCACAACAAGGAGTTTCAAGGTTATTTGCCAGTCTCCTTCCTTAACTGGAGGCATGGCCCTGGGTGGAGAAGATGATTGACAGTGGGGCATGACCTGCATTTGTGGAGGTGGAGTCTGGGGGTTCATTTAGAGTGGAAGAGAAGGTTGTGGTAGAAGGAATTGGAGGAGCCAAGATGGAGGGAGGATGGTCAGGCTCCTGAGCCACATTCGGGCTTCTTCCATCTTGACTCTCCGGAGCATGATGCTCCAAGATCGCATGGCCATTGCCATCATGGACCATCGTGGAAGGTCTGAGAAAGGCAGGTTTGAGGGGAGGTCCCGAGTTAGGAGTGACCAACGGATTGAGTTTTCAACACACTGCTTGCTGGTGAAGGGTCTCAAGGATGGTGTGGAAGATGGGGAGCATGCAGGGTGCAGTGGGGTCCCTTTTGATCGAAAGGTTGTACAGTTTAACTCCCACTGAATCCCAAAATTCAGTGGTATGGATTTTGTCAGCAGAGGCATCTGGAAAACTTTTAATGCTCCACCTCATGATTGATTTTAATTCATTTTTTGAAAATATTATGTCATGATCAGTGAGAATGAAAGGATCCATATATGCTCCTTTCTACTTTGGACATCTGGCTGCCCATTTTTCTCTTTCTCTGCCTTATGTGGAAGAGCCACTAGAACACTCCAAATCAATTCTGGGATGTGGGTTCATATTGTAAATACACAGTGGCAAAATGGGCAATAAATGTCTTGCATTTCCCCAAACCCACCTGCAATCCTATGCAGGTGAAACCGTTTTTGCCCCTGCCAATCCTGGGCAAGGTCCCTCAAAGCAACAATGGATCCGCCGGGCCCGGCACAATCCAAAATCCCAGGGAGCACTGGCCTATCCATCAGCTAACCCCAGCTGATGTGATTGACACAGGGAGCCCTGAATGTCCTGGTCCCTGTTCGGGTGCCAAAAGACACAATGAGGATGGCTCTGACAAACCTCTTTGGTTCTCCTGACTTCAGGGCGAGGGTGGCGAAAATCAAAAGGAGCATGATCAATGGAGTTGTTTAAAAGGAACTTTAAAAACAGGGTGAAAAACAATAAAAATGGAGAAGTCGAGCACAGTATGAGGGGCAGGATCCTAAGACCTGAGAAAAAGGGGAAGCAACAACATACACACTTGGGGCTAGAAAACTAGAACAATAACTATATAGAAGAAATAGGTAACCAATAAACCAATAGGGGAGTAGAACTTGGACAACTTAGCATAAAAACACTAAAGGCTTATGGGGGAACTCTCACACTCACCCTAAGTTAAACGAATGATTCTTAGATAGAACTTCATTCCCAGTTCTTCTGGGGTAAAATCTGACTGACTCTGAGTTACAGCCAGGCTAACTGCCACATTGCTGATTTGCACTGGCCCCTTGGAACCATGCAGCCCAACAGAGCCACAATGATGTCCTTGGTTCCATAAGGCTCCACAGTGTCACAATGGTTCCTTGGATCCATGGTGCTCTGCAGTGTCACAATGGCCCCTTCATTTCACAAGGCTCCCAAATGTCCCATTGGTCTTCATAGGAATGAAACCATGGAGCCACCATGTTTCAGGAGCTGATGAACAGCAGCCACCGGAGGTCAAGGAAAGTCGGACCTGTCTGTCCTGGCAGGTTTGCTTGGAGCAACCCTT